GGGTCTCTCGCTCTTGCTCAGGCTGGTGTCAAATTCCTGGCCTCAAGCGATCCTCCCGCCTCGGCCTCCCTCCCGAGTAGCTGGGACGACAGGCATGCGCCACCACGCCCGGCTCGTTTTTTTATTTATATTTTTAGTTGTCCAATTAATTTCCTTCTATTTTTTTTACTGGGACGGGGGTCTCGCTCTTGCTCAGGCTGGCCTCGAAATCCTGACCTCCAGCGATCCTCCTGCCTCAGCCTCCCAAGTAGCTGGGACTACAGGCATGCGACACCACGCCCGGCTCATTTTTTTCTATATCTATTACTTGGCCAATTAATTTCTTTCTATTACAGTAGAGACTGGGTCTGGCTCTTGCTCAGGCTGGTTTCGAACTCCTGACCTCGAGCAATCCGCCCGCCTTGGCCTCCCAGAGTGCTGGGAGGTCTGAAATATTTTAAATGACCTCGATATGTGTTTAAAAATCATGATTGTTTTCTTCCTGGATTTTCATTCTCTTTGGTTCTCTCATGCTGAAATCCCTTTATGAAGCTCACAACCTCTGGTGCATACTCTTCAGAATTCTTGTGATGATAGGGTAGTCAAAAAGGACTCACTTAGGCCGGGCGAGGTGGCCCACTCCTGTCATCCTAGCCCTCGGGGTGGAGGCCGAGCCGGGAGGATCGCTTGAGGTCAGAAATTCGAAACCAGAGTGAGCAAGAGCGAGACCCCGTCTCTACTAAAAAAAAAAAAGAAAGAAAGAAAGAAATGAGCTGGACAACTTAAAAAAAAATAATAGAAACAATGAGCCGGGCGTGGTGGCGCATGCCTGTGGTCCCAGCTACTCGGGAGGGAGGCTGAGGCAGGAGGATCGCTTGAGGCCGGGAGTCAGAGGCTGCTGTGAGCGAGGCTGACGCCACGGCGCTCGCTCCAGCCCGGGCGACAGAGCGAGACTCTGTCTCCAAAAAAAGGAAAAAAAAGAAAGCATTATACGGTAGCCAAAGAGGACTCATTTATACGTTATAGGAAACACGTTATTTTGAAGTAAATATACCAAATAACGATCGTTTTGGTTGAAGGAAGCCATTTACATGAAATAGTTTGCCCAGGAGATATTTTTAGGGGATGCCTACTTCCCTGTTGAAACTGTTTATGTCCGTCAGTCTGTCCATTGAAAAGAGAAAAAAATAAAATAGAAAAAATAAACTTTTTTTAGTGAGAGGGATAATCAAGATGAAATATTTTGGATAGGGGGCGTGAGGGGGGCACGGGCAATAATATATGTAACCTTAACGCTTGTACCCCCATAATACGCTAAAATAAAAAAAATAAAAATAAAAAGAAATAAAAAAGAGATATCTTGGAGAACCTTGAAGGGGAAGAGATTAAAGGAAGTCATAATTTATTTTTATTTTTATTTATTTTTTTGTTTTTGAGACAGAGTCTCGCTCTGTCGCCCGGGCTAGAGTGAGCGCCGTGGAGTCAGCCTCACTCACAGCAGCCTCCAGCTCCTGGCCTCCACCGATCCTCCTGCCTCGGCCTCCCTCCCGAGTAGCTGGGACGACAGGCATGCGCCACCATGCCCGGCTCATTTTTCCTATATATATATATATCTGTATACAGAATATATATAATATATATAAATATATATATATATTAGTTGACCAATTAATTTCCTTTTATTTATAGTAGAGACGAGGGTCTCGCTCTTGCTCAGGCTGGCCTCCGACTCCTGACACCTCGAGCGACCCTCCCTCCTCGGCCTCCCAGAGTGCTGGGATGACAGGCGTGGGCCTCCGGGCCGGCCAGAAGGCATAATTTAAAAGAGTTGAGAACAGAAGTGTTAAGCGTACGAGCCTCATTCATTTGTAGCCTTAGTTCTCTTCAGACTGCCTCTTTATTTATTTATTTTATTTTATTTATTTATTTTTTTTTGAGACAAGAGTCTCGCTTTGTCGCCCGGGCTACAGTGAGTGCCGTGGCGTCAGCCTCGCTCACAGCAACCTCAGTCTCCCGGGCTCAAGCGATCCTCCTGCCTCGGCCTCCCTCCCGAGTAGCTGGGACGACAGGCACGCGCCACCATGCCCGGCTCGTTTTTTTGCTATATATTTTTAGTTGTCCAAGTAATTTCTTTCTATTTATAGTAGAGACGGGGTCTCGCTCTCGCTCGGGCTGGCCTCGAACTCCTGACACCTCGAGCGATCCTCCCTCCTCGGCCTCCCAGAGCGCTGGGACGACAGGCGTGAGCCTCCGCGCCCGGCCCAGACTGCCTCTTTAGGGTTCTAGAACGTCGACTGGAAGGAAAATATATATATATATATTTTTTAACAGGTGTAAAGATGGAAGTATAGGAAGATTCTGACTTACTCTGGGTTAACCAGTCGGTGAGGGACAGAGGTAGAATGGGGATCCCCCCTCCTCTGTCCCACCCCAGCGGGTTTACCCTGGAGCCAGGAGTGGGAAAGGGGGGACCCCTAAGCAGACGTAGCGTCTCTGTGGGTCACTGGTATGAATTTGCAGACGTATGGGGTGTTCGACTCCACCTCTCTAGTAAGTTCTGTGAAGATTGCTAGAGTTGGCCGGGCGCGGAGGCTCACGCCTGTCATCCCAGCACTCTGGGAGGAGGCCGAGGCTGGAGGATCGCTCGAGGTCAGGAGTTGGAGGCCAGAAAGAGCAAGATTTGAGACCCCGTCTCTACTAAAAGTAGAAAGAAATTAGCTGGGCAGCTAAAAATATATACAAAAAAAATTAGCCAGCCATGACGACTCACAGCTGTCATCCCAGCACTCTGGGAGGCCAAGGCGGGAGGCTCACTCAAGATCGGGAGTTGGAGGCCGGCCTGAGCAAGAGCGAGACGCCGTCTCCACTAAAAATTGAAATAAATTAATCGGCCGACTAAAAATATACATAGAAGAAATGAGCCGGGCGTCGTGGCGCATGCCTGTCTTCCCAGCTACTCGGGAGGGAGGCCGAGGCGGGAGGATGGCTGGAGGCCAGGAGTCGGAGGCTGCTGTGAGCGAGGCTGACGCCACGGCGCTCACTCCAGCCCGGGTGACAACAGAGTGAGACTCTTGTCTCAAAAAACAAACAAACAAACAAAAAAATAGATTGCTAGAGTTTCTTACTTTTTTGATATCTGATCAAAAATATTTGATATTTCATTTTTGATGAAATTTTTGATACATATTTGATATTTCATTTTTGACGAAATATTGAAACATATTTGATATTTCATTTTTGACGAAATATTGATACATATTTGATATTTCATTTTTGACGAAATATTGATACATATTTGATATTTCACATATCTGATATTCTTTCATTTTTGACGAAATATTGAAACATATTTGATATTTCATTTTTGACGAAATATTGATACATATTTGATATTTCATTTTTGACGAAATATTGATACATATTTGATATTTCACATATCTGATATTCCATTTTTGATGCAGTATTGATACACATTTGATATTTCACATATCTGACATTTCATTTTTGATGCAATATCGATACACATTTGATATTTCACATATTTGATCATTCCATTTTTGATGCAATATTGACACAGATATTGATATTTCACGTATTTTGATCATTTCGTTTTTCTCAGACCTGTGAGTTCCAAAGCGAAACCGGTGCCATTTCGGCGGTTCATTCAAATCATCAACCGCCAGCCAGCCCGTGTGTGTGTGTGTGTACAGATGGCGGTGTGTGTATACAGATGGTGACATTTACATTCTGAGAACCCTGAAAACCGCAGCTTTGCAAAATGACTTCCTCTTTGAAGCCGCCACCCCCGGGCCACCGGCCACCCGTGCAGAAGTGCAGGACGGGAGGAGAGGTGACTCGTCCTGGGCGATGTTCTCAGTATTTTGGCTTCTCGACCGGTCTCTGTCGACTGCCCTCGCCCCTGGGCGTGCTGCGCAGGGCCGGCCGGCGCTCAGGGGTGGCCGGCAGGACATGCCACAGCCACAGAATTGCTCGTCCTCCCCCTGGTCACACTGTCCCGGGGGGGTTCTTGGTTAGGAGCAAGGAGACGCCTTGAGCAGTACTGGGGCGGTTTCGTTCTGTTCTTTTCTCTTTTTCTTTTCTTTTCTTTTCCCCCTTCCCTCTTTTCCTTTCCTTTCCTTCCCCCTTCCCTCTTTCCTTTCCTTTCCTTCCCCCTTCCCTCTTTCCTTTCTTTTCCTTTCCTTTCCCCCTTCCCCCTTTTCTTTTCTTTTCTTTTTTTCTTTTCTTTCCCTTTCCCCCCTTCCCCCTTTCTTTTCTGTTCTGTTCTGTTTTTTGAGACAGAGTCTCGCTCTGTCGCCCGGGCTGGAGTGAGCGCCGGGGCCTCGGCCTCGCTCACAGCAGCCTCCGACTCCTGGCCTCCAGCGAGCCTCCTGCCTCGGCCTCCCTCCCGAGTAGCTGGGACTACAGGCATGCGCCACCACGCCCGGCTCATTTTTTCTCTATATATATTAGTTGTCCAATTAATTTCTTTCTATTTATAGTAGAGACGGCGTCTCACTCTTGCTCAGGCTGGCCTCCAACTCCTGACCTCGAGCGAGCCTCCCTTCTCGGCCTCCTCCCAAGTAGCTGGGATGACAGTCATGAGCCTCCGCGCCCGGCCTACTATTGTTATTAATAATAATGTAATACTGTAACATGTAATAACACTGTAATAATGTAATAATAATGTAATGTGCTAAATTTGGCTTTCTAAATTCCACCCCGGTGGCCTCACTGGGTCTCGACCTTTCCCCGGTGGCAGGAGGCGGACCCGTCCGAGCGCGTCATCGCTCCCATGCGGTGGGGCCTGGTCCCCTCTTGGTTCAAGGAGCGCGACCCTCGCAGCCTGCAGTTCAACACCACCAACTGCCGCAGCGACACCATCTTGGAGAAAAGGTCCTTCAAGGTGGGTCCCAGGGCGCCTTCTTGGGTGTGTGTGGGGGACCCCCGTCTCTCTCTCGGGGCCCCAGAACCTCGTCCACGAGGCTATCTATATAATAAGGCCACGTGGTTTGGCCTCCCCCCCCCAAAAAATAAATCCAGTGGGTCCCGGACTCGGGTCACACTCTGCTCCTTTTGCGGACAGAGCTGTCGTTAGTGTCTCGAGTTCCCGGGAAATAAAAGGGACAGCCTGCTCCCTCCTGCTGATGAGGGGCTGCAAAAATAGGAAGAAATTAGCTAGACAACTAAAAAAAATAAAGAAATTAGCTAGACACCTAAAAATATGAAGAAATCTGCTAGACACCTAAAAATGTGAAGAAATCAGCTAGACAACTAAAAATGTAAAGATATTAGCTAGACACCTAAAAATGTGAAGAAATCAGCGGGACAACTAAAAATGTGAAGAAATTACCTAGATAACTATAAAAATATGAAGAAATTAGCTAGACACCTAAAAATGTGAAGAAATTAGCTAGATAACTAAAAATATGAAGAAATTAGCCAGAGAACTAAAAAATGTAAAGAAATTAGCTAGACAACTAAAAACATGAAGAAATTAGCTAGATACCTAAAAATATGAAGAAATTAGCCAGACAACTAAAAATGTGAAGAAATCAGCCGGACACCTAAAAATGTAAAGAAATTAGCTGGACAACTAAAAATGTAAAGAAATTAGCTGGACAACTAAAAATGTGAAGAAATCAGCCGGACACCTAAAAATGTAAAGAAATTAGCTGGACAACTAAAAATATGAAGAAATTAGCTGGACAACTAAAAATATGAAGAAATTAGCTAGACACCTAAAAATGTGAAGAAATTAGCTGGACAACTAAAAATGTGAAGAAATTAGCTAGACAACTAAAAATGTGAAGAAATTAGCTGGACAACTAAAAATGTGAAGAAATTAGCTGGACACCTAAAAATGTGAAGAAATTAGCTGGACACCTAAAAATGTGAAGAAATTAGCTAGACAACTAAAAATGTGAAGAAATTAGCTGGACAACTAAAAATGTAAAGAAATTAGCTGGACAACTAAAAATGTGAAGAAATTAGCTGGACACCTAAAAATGTAAAGAAATTAGCTGGACACCTAAAAATGTGAAGAAATTAGCTAGACACCTAAAAATGTGAAGAAATTAGCTGGACACCTAAAAATGTGAAGAAATTAGCTGGACACCTAAAAATGTAAAGAAATTAGCTGGACAACTAAAAATGTGAAGAAATTAGCTAGACAACTAAAAATGTAAAGAAATTAGCTGGACAACTAAAAATGTGAAGAAATCAGCTAGACAACTAAAAATGTAAAGAAATCAGCTGGACAACTAAAAATATGAAGAAATTAGCTAGATACCTAAAAATATGAAGAAATTAGCCAGACACCTAAAAATATGAAGAAATTAGCTAGACAACTGAAAATATGAAGAAATTAGCTAGACAACTAAAAATGTGAAGAAATTAGCTAGACAACTGAAAATATGAAGAAATTAGCTAGACAACTGAAAATATGAAGAAATTAGCTAGACACCTAAAAATATGAAGAAATTAGCTAGACAACTAAAAATATGAAGAAATCAGCCGGACACCTAAAAATGTAAAGAAATTAGCTAGACAACTAAAAATGTGAAGAAATTAGCTAGATACCTAAAAATATGAAGAAATTACCTAGATACCTAAAAATATGAAGAAATTAGCT